TTGATCAACTCATTTTACTATCAACTTTTATGTTTTATGCCACCATTATTTGGTTACAAAATTCTTACCATTTTGGTAAAATGGACAGGCGCAGCAACGCGCGCCATCAATGATCTAGTTGTATAGGAAACTTGGGATGCATACAATTACAAATTGGTATGCTCCTAAGTGATCAGTTTACCAAACCCAAAATGTATCTCAAATTAATCATCAAGGTGCAGTAGCATTTTAGCAAACATAAGCTAGTCATTTGATACAACCAAAGTAGATTTTTTTAGTTTATTGAAGTGAATACCTTTGATATCCAAGACCATCTAGAATCAATGACATAAACTCCCAGAATTTTATGGGCTCCACATTTGTCACGAAGTAGGCCTGGAAAAGGATTAGAAATCATGACACTGAATCTTAAATGTAAAATGTTAGTGAAGGGCCTTACTTTTCCAGCAGCTCGATTTGCACCATCTTCAGATGATAGAGTTTTGTCCGCACAAACATGGCCATAGGCAACGTTTTCAACGTAGGTGAAATCATAATAGTTGTTCCCATCACCAATTATGTACTGCAAATGATTTTAATAGATATTATTATCTTTTAAGAAACCGATTCAGAAAAAACATGAAGTGCTTCATTGTGAAGCTCACTACAATATAGAACAAAATTAATTGAGAAGCCAATTCGGTATCTTTAAAGCATTTGTTTGGCCTGATACAGTGATGTAATTTGTGTAATTGCGTTACTGATGAAAAACAAGAGGCGTCCAAATCCATCATTATGGGAATTATCTAAGTATAAATATCAACATGTGAAGATGTATGCATTTAGGCGGACTCGCGAATTATAAACTTAGCATACTCAAGTTCACAAAATTACACATGTAGCAGGTCTTACTTTGGACTTGCCTGCCCTTGCAGCAGCAACCAGAGAAGGAACCAGTAGCTTATCACCGGGCCCAAAAATGCTACTTGGGCGTATACAACAAGTAAGAAGCCCATACCTACCATTAGCTCTCATCACCAATTTTTCTGCGTCTGCCTTTGTTTCTGAATACGAATCATTAAACTGGAGTAAGAGAACATCTTGTCAGTAGTCGTACATAAGTATGACCAAATGAAAACAAAAAGGATGTAATATGAGAAAATTCCTAATTTAACAGTCGTAAATTTTCTTTCCCTATTTGACATTGAAAATACTCCGCCTATGTTGTCTCAACATAGCTGGTCCCAAGCCTGGGTAAAGGAGGAGGGTTGTGATAGGCTTGGCGAGCCCACGTCAAAACTCAGCCACTCTTATGGAGATGAAACCCAAAAGAAAATCGTTGGGCCGTAACCCTCTCAGCAACATGCCATATCGGAACCCGGGTGTGGTGCCAAATGGGCAAGGGCCGGGCCGTTACCTCCTGGTGGCGCGCCGTATCTTGATCTGGATGCGATGGCAATTGAGCAAGGATCGGGACGTCGCATCCTTAGTGGCGCGCTACATCGACGCCCGGGTGCAGTGGAAAACGAGCAAGGGTCTTCGCATTTGACTCGACGAGTGCGGAGGATAAGGAAGCTAGTTGAGCCTAGGAGGATCTATTTAGGTAACTGAAATATAGGGTCCCTGACGGGTAAGCTTCGAGAGCTAGTCGATACCGCAGTGAGAAAAGGTGTTGATATCCTCTGCGTCCAAGAAACCAAATGGAGGGGACAAAAGGAGAAGCAGGTGGAGGATACCGGCTTCAAGCTGTGGTACACGGGGACGACTGCAAACAAAAATGGAGTAGGCATCTTGATCAACAAGAGCCTCAAGTATGGATGGTAGACGTCAAGAGGCATGGGGACCGGATTATCCTGGTCTAAGCTGGTAGTTGGGGACTTAGTTCTCAATGTTATCAGCGCGTATGCCCCGCAAGTAGGCCACAACGAGAACATCAAGAGGGAGTTCTCGGAAGGCCTGGAGAACATTTTTAGGAGTGTACCTATTGATGAGAAGCTCTTCATAGAAAATGTCAATGGCCATGTGGGTACATCTAACATAGGTTTTGAAGGGGGCTTTGGCTATGGCAACAGGAATCAAGGAGAAGATGTCTTAAGCTTTGCTCTAGCCTATGACATAATCATTGCTTACACCCTCTTTAAAAAGAGAAAATCACATCTAATGACTTTTAGTAGTGGTCAATACTCTAGCCAGATTGATTTCATCCTCTCGACAAGAAAATATAGGCATGCTTGCCTAGATTGTAAGATGACTACACTTTCGTGGAGTTGTACTTCTCTCCATGTTTACAGGCAAGGCATTGTTACAGATCCAACTAAATTATAACTACCATATTTGTCTTTCACATGTTCTCTATGTAAGCTTATGGTTGTACATGGCTTGGTAAAAATATTTATTTCCTGTTCAATCATACGAATGTTTATGGCACATGTAATTGTTTGTAGATAAGCCTCAGCTCAAGACAAGTTGATGGAAGTATTTTGTATATATGTTCTTCCCATTTAAAAAAATAGGTAAGTTCTATGGAGATAGCTGGAGTGATGTCCTTTTTTACAATGTGTAGGTCTATGTATCATGACTTGTGGTTGCATGCCTATCGAGTATTTGATGCATTCACCTATGATTAGTAGTGATGTTGAGTGTACAATTCTGAAGATATCAACAGAAACAATTGAATTCTTTTGATCTCCATAGAGGATATTTGTGAGCATGTTAATCTCAGTCTTCTGTTTATGAAGTGGCCATTCATTGGTCCATATTTTGCTAATCGACTGAGACAAAGTATATTGTTTGCTTAAATTTATACTGTGATATGAAACCGGAAGAAATCTTAATCAATGGGAATTAAAAATTCTTTTTTGAATTGCTGAAGGTTCACCCAGAGATCACTTCAGTTGGCCTGTATACATTTCTGAAGGTTTGGGGATAATAGACAAGACCTTTATGGGCTAACACTTGGAGTGCTTCCTACAGATGGTGACTAGCCAGATCTGACGTTGTTTGTAACCGGTGTCTTAAGTTAATATGCAGTCTTCTTTCCAGTGATTTGGGACAGGCATAGAGATTTCTTTAGTGAGCATGGACGCATCTTTCTTATTATGTTCCCGTGGTTGCAAACCTTATCCAACTCATTTCTTAAAAGATCGACAATCATCAACTTCGCAGCCTGGTCCTTTTCACTGTTGAACAAATGCAGAACAAAAACCAAGTTTCTGTCTGCCAAATGTTCGTTTGGCCACGCCGTTAATTCAGGTTATGAGCTGCTTGGTTCCTTCTGTTTTTGTGTGTTAAAAAAACTGCTTCTCAGTGTTGTACAGTAATTTCTTTGTGGTTGTACTATGAGGCTTTGGCCTTCTCTTATTCTATACAGTTCACATGCAACTCTCCTGCATGGTTTGGAAAAACATTTAACCCCATAATTCAAAGGAAAAAAACTATAATAAGTGTTTCTTAGTATCGAGGCACTATTCCGTGCTTTGATGCTCCGAGAATTTAGTTCAGTTCAGTAGTTCACATAAATCATGCTGATATTCAAGCATTGGTCGTACAATAAGATTGAATGTTGCCACTTTTACTCCGACCAAGCATCCACATGACCCAGTCTGCTACCAACGGAAAGTCAATTCTCTTTGCTATTACATTTTTTACATTAGAACTTCTAGTGTTGATTTGAGGTTCTGTTTAGTTTATATGCTACTTTTAATGCCAACAAAAAGATCCCGCAACAACGCGCGGGGTATCATCTAGTTTTCTTAATGGACAACCGCTGGATATGTGTCCCTTTTTACCACATTTGTAACACTTTGGGCCTTCATTTGCCTTACCCTTCTCTAGTTTGCTTCGGGATTGGTTGTTTTGCCTTTGGTGGAGCGGTTTTTTCTTCCACTCTATTAGTGTGATCCCTAGACGAGCCTTCGGTATGAGGATATGGAGCCTTAGTTGTCTTTCTTGTCCTGACAAACCTCTCGGCCTTTAAGGCTAGAGCTTGTACTTGATCAATGGATCAGATTTGTTGCATCATTAATCGATTTTGAATAGCATCATTGAGACCATTGATGTACCTTGCAACTTGTTGATCTTCAATTTCAGCAAAGTTGCACCTCACTTGTAGCCTTAGAAACTCCTCCGTGTAATCTGAAATAGTCCTATTTACTTGAGCACAATTTTGGAATTGGATAGATAGGATCTGGTCATATTCAGCGGGTAAAAATCTTCCTTTTAAAAGGCTTTTCATTTGCCGCCAAGTTCTCACACGAGGTTTTCCTCTCAGCCTGCATTCTTCTTGAATGCGATGCCACCATGCACTGGCTCCTCTTTTAAGCTTGTACGCGACCAAAGGAACTCTACGATCTTCCGGAACCTCCATGACCTCAAAGAAAGTCTCCACTTCATATAACCAATCTAGGCACCCTTCAATATCAACATTTCCATTAAAAGTTGGGATCTCAGCTTTCACCTTGTATGTATCTCCTGCATATGTAGGGTTGGGTACTCTCTGATATGCGTAGAGATCTGGTTCTTCAAGGGCATCATCACATTCTTCACCTTCAGAAGCTTCAACATAAATTGGCCTTCTTGCAGCACATTGAATAGCATGTTGTTGTGGTGGTCTTGCACCAAGATTACCTCTCCTTCTTTGATGAACATCTCCTTCTTTAGATGAATCTCCTTCATTGGTAGCAAGGGGGACACCCTTTCTTATCATCTCAACCAGCTGGTCAAATCTCCGATTAAGATCTTCATGCAGCTCTTTGATTTGTTGTTCTATAGCATCCATCCTCTTCTCCAATTGCTCCATTGCTTGCTACAGCTTGCTCTCGAAGACGACAGCAAGAACTAGTATGGGTTAACGAAGCTTTGATACCACCTGAAGCAGTACAAAGGTTGTGGAGGAGCAACTCCACCTTGCTGCTACAATGTGTATAGCACAAGTGTTGAAGGAACAACTTCAACGTGTTGCGCTAGATATCGCTCGAGGCGAATGTAGGCCGATATGGCAGCAAGAGTTCAATACAGAACTCCTAGAGCACAAGATCTACTCCAAGATCTTAGATAAGAACAACAGGTTCTATTATAGATAGTGGGTACATAGTCTGGGTTCAAAGTAAAGGTGAGGACCTCTATTTATAGGGCTTTGGGA